GATTTCTAGTTCATTCTACCCAAAGTCATGGTTGAGGTGATACAGTTGGTCAAGACTGTTAACCTGCTATAATTCCTCCTGCAATATGCTGTTGAAATGACGGAATAAGGGAAGAAAAGGAAAAAAATATCTTCAAACTTTATTTCAGATATCCAAGTAGATACTTTGACAAACGATTGACTTTGCACTAATCCAATGGAACCCATGATCTAGGTTGAGCTTCAATTTCATGGCAGTGGTGCTATAAGGGAGAAGGATGCAATTTTCAATTACCGGAGGAAGTATCTCCCAACACAACAGGTACTCATCGTTACATCTCGCTGTGCTTTTCACAATACACGTACTGTTTAACTTTCCTTTATTGTTTGCAAATTTTACTTTGCTTTCACTCTTCTTTCTAATTCTGGAAGACTACACATATTATCCAGGTCGCATACCACACTCCACCTCGTTTTCCTATCAACATCATTAAAAGTATTCGAGAAGGAGCATCATTGTTATTCCAAAAACTTGGCCTACGTGATTTTGCTCGCATTGATGGTTGGTTTTTACCTTCCTCCACAAATGTTTTCTCATCTTCAGAGGACAAAATCGGGAGGACTGAATTGGGTACAATTCTATTCACGGACATTAACCTAGTAAGAAAAAATTTCATGGCTTTTCCAATCACTGTACTATCAATAAATCATGCTCTTAATATCTGATTTCCTTTTTTTTGTTGTCATTCTCTTTCAGATTAGTGGTATGGAGCAGACTAGTTTTCTCTTTCAGCAAGCTTCAAAGGTACTTATGAATAGTTGTCATGATTCATGAACTTGTCACTGGAGTTGTCAATATTGATTCTTCCTGGGCTCTGCTTTTGCCATTAGAACCTTCTAGATATTTGCATTGTATAGATGGAATCTACTGCATGTATCATAGCATCGCAGTTGCATGCTTCTTGTTGGTGGTTGCTACTCCTTTTACTATGATCTATCATTTTTCCTTTGAAGTGATCTGTCAAATTTGGTTTTGCTGGTTAAATTGCATCCATAACGTTGCGGCAAGATTTT